TTCCCTTTTCCACACAATAAGAATTATTTCCATGCTCACGATGACTCAACCCTTCTCTCAGTGATTCCTCCCAGGGTTTGCATTTTTGTAGGCTGCATGTGAAAGAAAACTATCTGCCTCCAAGAAGTTTTGAAGTTAAGCAGAGGTGAGTATAAAGGAGTCCATAGAAGACAATAAGTTTAGCCAGCTTTCCCTTTTAGAAAAGGTTTTGTATTTGTTTTTATACAAGTCTCATATGAAGTGAAAGAAGAGAAGCACTAGGTGAGAGGACAGAGCAGGGAGCAGTAGGAGTGATGTGAGACTGGGAAAAGTCATACACCCTCCACCCTTAAGCACCAATAGATCTGGTCTTGACACGTCTCTAGAGTGGAAGTGTCATGTTTGCCTGTATTTCTTCTGTGCAAATTCTCCCTTGAATGCCATTGCTTTGACTCACTTGTGACTCTGGTTGCTGCTCTGTGATTGACCAGTACTGTCTCCCTTACTGTCATACTGCCATTACTTTCCTTTCACTTTTCCTTTAATGGGGCCAAAACATTGTGTCTGTCCTGCTAACAGTTGTGCTCTTTGGTGCCTGGCACATATGTACTGTTATTAGTTGCTATCAAGTCAATTCCAACTCATGGCAACCTTTTGCAGAATAGAGTGAAACGTTGTGCTCCTGTGTCATCCTCAAAATTGCCAGCATGTTCAAATCCATCGTTGTGACTGTTGTGTCAGTCCATCTCGCTTAGCGTCTTGCTTGTTTTCACTTGCCATTTTCCACACAATGAGAATTATTTCCATGCTCATGATGACTCAACCCTTCTCTGGCTTTCTACCACACATGATGTCCTCCTCCAACAAGGGATCCCTCCTGATGTCATATCCAAAGCAAATGAATCAGACAATGTTCTTTTATGATCCATAGGGTTTTCAATGGCTGATTTTTGGAAGAAGATCATCAGGGCTTCCTTCCCAGTCTGTCTTAATCTGGAAACTCTGCTGAAACCTGTTTACCATGAATGACCCTGCTGGTATTTGAAATACCTGTGGTATAGCTTCCAGCATCATAGCAACATGCAAGCAACCATAGTATGAAAAACTGGAAAACTGATGGTGGATATAGTATGTGGTCAACACATATCTGATAACTGAATGATTTGACTATGAGGAAAGAATTATAAGTCAAGTTTTAGAATGATTTTTGTTATTTGTTGTGTTGTTTGAAGGAGAAGCACCTTAGCCAAGTTCAGAAGGTCAAAGAATTGCTTTTTTTTTCTTTTTTTGATAGTCTCCTCATCTTAGCAGCATTTCACTGCTTGATGTACATTTGATTTAAACTACATGAGTCTTTCACCTTATTTTCTTGCTAAAATTCTCCCTTACATGGAAAAGAGGTTGACATCAGCATGGACACTGAACTTTTTGGGGTTATTTACTCGAGGAAACTTTGATGTGTTAGTATTTGTTCCAGGTACAGGAGAAAGAGGTGGAGGCTTTTCCTCCACTATCCATGGTGGCACAGATAGGTAGACAGTAAGGCTCATTGAGAGGTGCCCGAGCTGCTATGAGGATGCACAGGATATGGACCTGATGCAAACCTGGTGATGTCATGAAAGACTTGACAGAGGCAGTGATGTGAATTCAGTTTTAAAAAGGGATTGTGTTAGCACGTTGTACCAGAATACATTTTCCAATAGAAATAAAATAGTCTTTGACCTCAGTGTTAGAACCAACAAGTCACATGGCAAATTGTTTTCACCCTGAACATAATGAGACTGTTTGCCCCACTGAACCAATGAAAACATTGAAGATCTGTTCTTGTGACTTGCATAGATGTTTAAGTACAACTCCTGTGGTCAGGGGCTCTCAGATGAGGGGTAGGCCCTACCTTTCCTCAGATAATGAGAGTGATTTCTTAGATGTTGCAGTAGAGGTGTTTGAAGGTGATGATGCACAGAGGTGGAGGAGGCCTTCATTCTGCCTGGAAAGTCAGGGGAGGCAGCACTGCACAGGTCAAAGTACTCACATTGAGCACTGAAACGTGGGCTCTCAGGCAAAGAGTGGAGATAGTAGGTCAGATAGACCATGTGTATAAAGGCAGGGGACAGGAAGCAACTTATCTTTATGATTGTGCTGTTGTGAATATTGTAAACATGAAAATGACTCTAGAAAGGTGGGCTGAGGCCAGATCCTAATTGGCTTATATCTCTTCCTATAGAGTAGATATCATTAGGTAGGGAATCATTGAGGGGTCACTGAAAGACATTGAATGACAGGCAATGATGTGATGTGATCAGATCTGTGCTTTAGGAGAGAAAGACAGCTATGCTGTTTTGTGAAGGATGAATTGTGATGGTTGTAGGGTAGGGAGGTGGTGTGGAGACTGGAGTTCAGATGTCTAGTTATGAAGCTATTAACAGTGGTCCTCGTGAGGGATCATGGAAATCTCACCCAAGCAGGATGCCATTAGCAGAAGGGACAGATGGAAGAAGTATTAAAAAGGTGTATTGATAATATGTGAACATCAACTGACTGTGGGCTCAATGGAGCTAGCATCTTCCAGGATCACTGAGTGTGCTTCAGAGCACTGGGACCATGCTCCAAGAGAGGAGTGCATAAAGTTCCCTCACCCTTCACTATGCCAGAAACTCAAAGATACATCCTTACTCTAAACCTGGAATAGATAGCATTTTCCATTTTTAAAGAAGAGGAAACTAACCCAAGTTGCAGAGAACCTTAGCCAAAGTCACACAGCTTACAAATGTCAGGCAGTGCTAGGATTCCATCCAGGCCTGCCCAGCAACAAAGTCCATGCTCTCAAGCAGTGCTTAACCCACAAGGAGGCACCCCAGTGACAGCAGCTGTCAGTCACTGGTGCTGGAGTACTGAAAGGTGGAGCACAGACTATTGAGAACCTCACAAGACCAGAGAGAGAGTTTGTGAGAGTGACTGGGTCAAAGGGAGGTCCTTTTTAAAAACATGTCAGCAACTGAAGCACTTTTATAGGCAGGATAGAAAACAAAACAAAACAAACAAACAAACAATCAAAAAGTAATGAAAAAAGAGGATGGCTTACTTCCAAAAAGGAATAATCTGAGGAATAAGAGGTATTGCTGGGTGGTGTAAATAGTTAAGTGTTGAATTGATAACTGAAAGATTGGAGGCTCAAGTCCACCCAGAGGCACCTTGGCAAAGAGCACTGATGATCTAATTCTAAAAATTCAGCCATTGAGAGCCCTATGAATTACAGTTCTACTCTGACATACATGATTTGGAATCAACTCAACAGCCACTTTTCTTTTTTTTTTTTGGTGGAATAAGAGGAGAAAATCATTGGTGTGAGGAGAGGGTTGGCTTTAGGAAGGAGGATGAGCACCTTTTTCTTGGACACAGGAGAGGAAGAGGTTGCTGAAGGAAACTTTAAAAAGAGAACAGATAAGCAGAGAATACTTATTACTGGATTGAAACTTTTCAGCCAAATTGGTGGGGTAACTGCACAGAATCAGAATGATAATGAATGTAGCTACGCTGCTTTAAGGACCTTAGAAAAATCACTGTGCCAGTTATTTGGGGAAACCGATTTGAGCAGAGTGCCAGGATACAGAGCAGTCATCAGTGGAGGCTGGGCTGCATGAATGGCCTATGCGTGGTCCAGTCAGGCATGTTCCATGAGTGTGGGATACTTCCGGTAGCATCAGGAGAGACTTGCCCCCTCCACTTATCTTCCAGATGCTGTTTTCCCAGGCTCCCAGATATCTATTCTGTGGAGATTAAAAAAAAAAATTAATTTCTGGAAAATTGAAGCATACAGAAATAAAACCACTAGCTCTACCCTGTGTAACGTTTGCTTTTCCAGCATATCTTAGCAGCTATGAATATATTAGCACACTTGACTTGTCTATTTGTGTGTTTGATTTTAAACACACTTAACAGCTCATCCTTTCCAAATAAAACACTTGGTGGGTTAAGAGATCAGTATCCTTGCCTAAATTCAGCTTTGGGAAAGCAGAAGCAGATTCTGGTGATGGTGGTTGAAAGGCTAAACATACAGAAGTTTTCTTCTTTGTATGAAGGACATATGCCTGCTTACAGGAATGCCATAGTGACATGAGAGCAGGATCCATGCTACTTACAGTGGGGATACCTGCTTCCTGGTATCTGCTTTTCCATGCTGAGGCAGGTTTGTTAAATATTAGCATATATTCTTCCATCAGATTAAACCTAAAATATCAAGCTCTTCTCCTTTCAAATCCCTCTGTTCTTTCTTCTGAGGAACTGTCTTTTATCTTCTCCCAGTTTCATTTCAGTCCTCTAGTCTATTTGATCTTTTAAGCCATTTTTACATTTCTTATACCTTTTAAACCATTGATTAAGTTGTGAGAGCCTGGATCAATACTTGGCCAATGCACATCATGTGTAGCTATCACCCCTCTACCAGTGGAGGTTTTTGTGTTGCTATGATACTGAACAGGCTTTGGTGGAGCTTCCAGACTCAGATAGACTGGGAAGAAAGGCCTAGAAATCCACTTCTAAAAATCAGCCAATGAAAACATTATAGATCACAAAGGTCTGATCTGCAGCCAATCATGGGGATGATGCAGGACTGGACGACATTTTGTTCCATGGCACTGGGGTTGCTGGGAGTCAGGGCCAACTGGGTGGCAGCTAACAACAAAAACAAGAAATAAAATTCATTGTTAAGTATTGTATTGAATTCAAAATAGGGCAAACATGTTTAATGTTAAATCTTATGAAAATTCTAAGAGAAGATTAAAGAAATACAGACATAAACATGTGAAATTATTTTGAAAGATTCTCCCATCCCTGTCCCTGTCAAAAATCAACATGAGCAGCTAGGTTTGTGTGTAGTCTCAAATTCTCCTATGACCACTGGCAGAGAAGTCATGGGAAAACTGAATCTAGCTGGACTTCAGGAACATGAACCTAAGAATTTTGAGAGAGCTCTCCTATTATGCAGACTGGGAGTGACTGGGTTCTTTGATGTCTTTCTATAGGAGCCATGGAGTACACAACACATCCCAGCGCTGTTTTCGGCCTTCTGCGGCCTCTTGGTCGCCCTTTCCTACCATCTGAGCAGGCAGAGCAGTGACCCATCTGTGCTGATGTGAGTAATACGGGCCGTGACCCTTCAATGCAAAACCTGCTTACATCCTTCCTGAGCAGGGCTGCTTTTGGGTTCATTGTGGTTGGAATCTTTTGCTGTTGCATTAGCCAAGCACTGGGAAGGGTGGGAGAAATGCAGACCTAGAAACCAATTAAAACCAAGTATCAACTTCTAGCGAACACATAAACTTTGCTGTTGTATTTTTGAAATACAATGCACAATGGCAGATGGCTTATAGCACCCAAGTGCTGTCTTTGACTTTCCCTTGGGAGAGTTGTATGAGAAGCTACACAGGGTTTACACTCTGGATCCATTAAGCAGCTAAGCTCTCTTTATTCCAGGCAATTGCCCTGAGGAGACTAGACCTGCACAACAGGAAAGAAAGAAAAGCTTTTGTTTCTTTGCTGCTGTTTGTTCCTAAAATGGCTGGTTTCCTCTGGGCTTGACTTTAAGTTGGAGCCAAAGTTTTGTATGTGTTTAATAATCATTCTTAGTCATGTTAAAGTATACTTTTCAATATTATTTTTAATTATGTCTTTTAAATGTTTGATAAATATGTAGTTGGGCACTGGAAACCCTTCATATGATGCTCAAGTAAGTTTCTGATTTCAGTAATAGTATCTGCATGAGAATTTAAATTCTAAAGCACTTGGTTTATTGTTTTGAGCAGGCGGTGACGAATGATCACTCTACTCAAACTTTGTGTCATTCCACAGTGTCAGGTTTATTAATACATAAGAATATCAACAAACCAAGTGTGGTTGCTTCTGCACACAAATAAGCAACAGTAGATAAACAGAGTTAGTACTTATCAGCTGATATCAGGGATGAGCTTGTGGATGATCACAATGTCAGCAGTTCTTGGGATGAGTTCTATAGTGATGCCTTCTTCAACTTGGTCATGGCAGTGTCAGTGTTTGCTCTATTAGACTTGAGGAGGAGAGTTTGGAGTAGTGTCACACCGGAAGTGTATAGGCTTAGATTGCAAGCTAGGGATTCTCCAGCAGCAGGCGTCCTGTTTTGGCTATGGATGAAGGAGATCCAGTGGGGCCAGTGCAAGATTACCCTGGATGAGCTGCTGCTGCTGCTGACTGATCTCTTGCACCGGAGATTCCCAGGATGTGCCAGCTACCACCCACGTTAGCCACCAATGGCCGTTACCTTAACCTCACCATTGCGTTGGATGCTCCGAGCAAATAGAGTACCACACGGCAAATGTGTGCATGTAGAACACAATCACTCTCAAGGCTGCCCACCATGAAATGGAGTCTCTTCCACCAGCCCTTATGAACAAAACTTTATGAATAGCAGAGGAACACTGTCTGATACATTACTGTGCAACTTTATGAATAGCTCGGAAACATTGTCTGATACTGTGCAGGAGGATAAGCCTCTTGGGTCGTAAGGCTCTCAATATACAACTGGGAAAGAGCTGCATCATCAGAGTAGAACCAACCTTACTGATATGGATAAAGTAAAGCTTTCGAGACCTCCATTTACTGATGTGGCATGACTCAAATTGAGGAGAAACAACTGCAAACATCCATTAATAACTGGAACATGGAATATATGAAGTATGAATCTAGGAAAATTGGAAGTTGTCAAAAATGAAATGGAATGCATAAATGGTATGCATAATGTAATCCTATGCATTAGTGAGCTGAAATGAACTAGTTTTGGCCATTTTGAATCAGACAACCATATGATATACTATGCCGGGAATGACAATTTGAGGAGGAATGGCATGACATTCATCATCACAAAAGATGTTTTAAGATCTGTCCTGAAGTACAATGCTGTCAGTTATGAAAATCAGGTGTGCAGGCAAGAGATAGCCAAGATGGATTCCACTACAAAGGCTGTCGGAACAAAGATGGAACCAGTAGCAAAGGCTGCTGGGATGCTGCCATGACATTTTCTGGGATATTGCACATGCATGCTACCTCTAGACCCTCATTCAGGTCCCAGTAAGGGATTCTTGTTCTTGACTGCTTGCGGTGGAAGGTCATTTTGTTGGTCAAGTTGAATTTTACTGTGGATGCTCTGCACCTGGTGTACTTGAAGGAGACCTTGGAAGTTCATCAGCATTTTACCATGGTCAAGTTTTGGGGGTCTTTTGAAATGTAATTTCTTATCTTGGCTACAGGCCTGGTTTGTTAATCACAAGTAGTTCTCTGTAGCCAGCAGCAATGTAGTGGTCTGTCACAAAACTATTCCAAGAACATTGAGTCAGAGGCTTGTTTGATCTGGCTAGCCCAATTCCTTGCCTGTCTCACTTGGAGTTCTTTTTGTTACTTTCCCAGTGGTGCTGGCTATTAAACTAACAATGTCAGTATACTTAGACAAGTCTAGGCAAGCCCAAGAAAAGGCGGATTGCCCTCAGGAGGTAGGCGGTTGAAAGTCCATTAAATAGTATGCAGAAAGGTAGTAACATAGAGAACTAGGGAATTGGCCTGTGCCTGTCCTTAATGACTAACAGAAAATAGGAAGTCCTGTAATCATTTTGAACTTGCAGTTATGTACACCAAACTGATCCTTTCTCCACTTCTGTGGTCCTACCTGGGACAGTGATGAATTGCTGCCACTAATAATCATCTTGTGATGATTTTCTTTGTCCTAAATCACATATAATAAACACCATTACTGTGTTCAGCAGATTCAGCCTCTTACTGCATACACACTGATGGTTTCCCTTATCTAGATAATTGTCTGCTTGAACAATTTCTCTTAGAAAGATCAGCACTAGGCTGGTCCCCATGAGGCGGAGGTCAAAGATGTCCCAAATGTCCAAACT